ATTCCTGATGCCCAAGAACACCAAGTTCTTGAGAAAGATCGCTCAAGACACATGATAAAAGAACACAAAGCCCAGGAAAATACTGACTCCCACCGCCCAACCACTGGGCCTATGGTAAACAAAGCACGCAGCCATGAGGGGCAAAAGCCTTTCCACATCTCTTATCTCAAACTAACCTGGCATGGCTACCCAGTTGCCTGGCTTCTCAGCTGCCCGCCTACCTCAGTCTTTTCTTGGGCCTGTCTTGGGGAAGAAGGGTTGGCTGGCAGCAAGCAGTCTGCAGATATAATATATTCTTTTTCACTTTCCAGTAATCCTAGCATGCCATGGTGGCTTTGGTGGTCAACTTAATACCCCTGGGAAGAGGGACCGTCAGCTGGGGAAATTCCTCTATCGAATTGGCCTGTGGCCGTGTCTGTGATCATTTCTTGATTGTTGAGTGATGTGGGAGGGTCCCGCCTCTGCCCTCTGTGGGCGGTGCCACCCCTGGGCAGGTCCTGGGTTATAGAAGAAATCAAGCTGAACACAGGTCAGCCACGTAAGCCAGTAAGCAGTGCTCCTTGTTCTCCGCTTCAGCTTTTGCCTCCCGGTTCCTGCCCTGACCCCCTGCCCTGACTTCCTGCCCTGTCCATGATTAGGATGTGTAAGTCAAATAAACCCTGCCTTCCCAAATTTGTTTTGGTCAGAATGTTTCATCATAAAAATAGAAAGTAACTAGGACATAACATAAACTAATTATTCTTGACATCTCACTTAAAAAACCATTTAGTAATTGCTTTTGACCAACAGCCATTTCAGCACCACTACAGTGATGTGATGCAGCTGGAATCACCACTTTCTACAATCTTTCTGTTGCTCCCTATCATGTCTGTCGGGACAGAGCAGCCACTTACAGACTTAAGACAGAAACTCAGAGGCTGACTCTGTCATTTCCTGCTAGCTGTGCTGTTGTTGGAGATGCTGTCTTTCAGCTGAACCTGGTAGCCATCCTGTGGGCTTCCATAACTGTTCAAAGGCCCCACTGTCTGGCTTGGTGGGTTCTACTCCATAAAGTTTTTACTCCAGGATAAGCCATTGAGACATAAGACATAGTCTGCCATGGCCTTGGAACTCATGTATGTGTACCCACCAGCTTCTGGGCACCCCACACACATCTACACTAGTCTCCCAGAGATCATGGGATCCTATAGGATCCATGCTTCATTTTCCAAGAGATGTTTCTTTTTTAATTATTTATTATTTTTAATTTTATGAGTGTATTGCCTGCATGTATGTAAGTGTACTCATGTTGTGCAATGCCCAGGGTGGTCAGAAGAGGGCATCGGATCCCCTGGAACTGGATGGTTGTTAACTACTGTGTGGGTGCTGGGATTTGAACCCGGGTCCTTTGCAAGAGTACCCAGTGCTCTTAATCGCTAAACCATCTCTCCAACCATGAGATATTTCTTTCAAAATAAGCATTGATGTCTGCAGGGCCACACGATTGGCAAGTTGAGACCAAGGTGTCTTTGGAGAAAAAACAAATGTTAGACTAAGGTGAAGTGGGTGCTGTTCTTCACTGAGCTGCTATGATCAACAGCAGTTGCCTCATTGAGTGATCCAGTTCTACCCACTGAACCATACTATCCTCACTGTGGGCAGGATGCTTGCTAAGTCCCACCCGATTTATTACCTCTCTCAGTGGCAACTAGGGGAGTCTGTGGCTGAAGCTGCAAGAAGGTATGTGAAAAACATCATCTCCTTCCTAAAACAACTGGGCCCTGGCATGACCCGGGGAGCCTACCAAGACGGCAGACAGATGGGGTTAAGTAAGGGGCTACCTCCTCGAGTTTCCAGTCCTGGGAGATCTTATCCTCAGAGCCTACTAGAGCACTTCTAGCTTGCTACACTGAGCAGACTCGTTATGTGTCAAGGAAAAAGTACTGTCAGTGGGATTAAGTATTAATAAACATTCGCGTTCAGAAGTTCTATCCCATTGTGGTGGTCATTTAAAGGTAGAGAGGGAATCAAGAAATGATTAAAGAAGAAAACACGGTGGCCATGCTGCATAAACTCTTCCTCTTTGGGTTGCTTAACCAAGAGGCAGCTCAATCTGTTCTAAGGAGCTCTGCTTTCTCTCAGAAGTGCCCTGGCCCCCTGGCCTCTTATACTTATTGAACAGCACACCAGTCAGGGTATGGGAAAGGAATGATGAACTTTGTCTCCAAGAATCTTTAACCAGAGTTTACAAGGGAAGGGGTTAATTTTCTGGCCATTGACTCCGAAGAGCATACAAAAACACAAACAGACATCATCAACCTATGTCCACATGCTGTTTTTGACACTAGTGTGGGGTACATTGTTTCAATGTTATCCTTGCTTTCAGTGTGGCCTAGTGGTCTTCTGCCTAATCGCAAGGATTCATGGGCACACACATTGTTCTGAGTCAGGGGCATAACAAGTCACAATAGGGAACATGGTGTAAGAGTAAAGCTATGCATTCAGCTTAGCCTGTAAAGGTGAATTACATCAGATCTTACTTTCCTTAAAGGCTAGTTAAATTTAAACAAGCTGAGTGCACAGTAGGAAACAGGTTGAATACATGGTTCTAAATAATCTCAAAGCATATGATTAACTTGCAAAATTCAATTTGTGATTCCTATAAAAATCATTCCCACAAATCATGGCTCATTCTTGGTATGAAAACCCTCCTCAACTTCAGGTTCAAAGGACCTCAGGATATCTTTTATACTAAGATACCTTTTTTGTCCTTGAATTTATGACAATTAGACTCCACGTGTGTGAGCTCCCATCAGCACAGTGAGTTGGCACAGCTCACTGTGGTAAACACAACTCATGCATTACTGCTGAGATTTAACCTTTGACATAGCAGCCCCACTTCTGGGAATCTGTCTTATGGACATGTTGACAAAAATATAGATATTTTTTAAATTTTAACCACTCATTGCCCAACTCTTTGTTACAGCAAAAGATAGGAACAAC